GATCGAATCGAGAGGCTAATATCGAGAACCGGATCGAATCGAGAGGCTTGTGTATCGTTACAGCCCTAATTTACATGATGCTGTGTATGAGGGATGAGCAGCATCGGTTCACGTTGCCGCCGTCGTGTGTTTCTCCCCGCAGGCGTGCTCGGCTGTACAGCTGCTCAAGTACGTGCTGAAGCTGGTCGAGAAAGAGGTCGCAGTCGCTGACGAGGTCCAGGCTCTCTTCACCGGCGAACTCAACCCTGTAGCGCCGAAAGCACAGAGGAAGGTGCCTGTACCCGACGGGTGAGTGACGGGGGCAGCGGTGGTGTGAGGGGGGAGGTAGCAGGCACAGAGGGCCTGAAGGTAGCAGCAGTGATGTGGTCACGCGAGGTGGAAGATGTTGGTGTGGCCGTGGGTGTCGGGTGGCGTGGTGCAGTGGTGCGTCCCTGTCGAAGTTGCATGCTGCCTAGGAGATGCTTTGTTGTGAGGTCAGGGTCAGGTCGCGATGCTACCGTATTGCAGGATTGGGCATGAGTTGTGCGGGTATCTTACTAGCTAAAATGGGAAAGATGAAATTAATTCGTAACACGGCAGTCGTATGTTTCCGTAGGCTGTTATTGCTGTGGCTCAAATAAGAGTGTCACCAACGGTGGATCAGGGATCGTGAGTCGAAAAATTTAATGGAGGTTCCACTCACACGATCTCAGCGCAGTGTTAACGTGAACATATATATGTGTTCTCTCGTTTCTTGTTGTTCTTCTTGTTGTTGTTCTCATTGTTCAGCGATGTTCTCTCGTTGTTTTCCAGCCTTGACCTTGACGCGCGTATCAACGACGCTCCATCCTCGAGCTCCTCCGAAGAGGAAGACCTTAAAGGTACGAATCTAAGAATGCATAATCCTAAGAACATTATATACATTCAGAGTAAACGCGAAAAATCTTGCCCGATAATTTTTCTCGCGAAGGTTTCAGTTGTACTCTCGGCAACACTGTACTCTACTACGCTCGGCGTTCAGAAGGCATGAGTCTTGGTCGTAAGGCCAAAACAAAATATAGGTGTGGTTACCGTTTCCCGACCGACCCTATTTATTCCCAGCTACCCTAAACATTTTATTGTCAATTTTCTTTAAAGTAAAAAAAAAAAAAATGAATTGGACAGTTCCTGCTTCAAAAAGCACAATGCACATCCTTCGGACATGGTTCGTAAATAAAATGTTTCAATAAAATAAAATGTTTTCCCTACCTACCTACCTACCCTATTTTTTTTTCGGCATGAAACGGTAACCACACCTATATTTTGTTTTGGCCTAACCGTATATAGACACAGATTTGTCGTTGTCCCTTGATGTAGCTTATGTTTGTTACAAACACGGTGTTATAACGGGGGTGCTTGCTTGTAGGGGTGATCTGTCTGATGGATTTTTAATTTAATTAATTTTTAATTAATTTTGTTTTATCGGTTAAATTGCTGCTTATACGTTTTTTTTTTCTCCCTATTCGTATTCGATGTGAGCAAACGCTAGCGATCATACGCTAGCCATAGGCAAGCTTTATGTCGTGATTCACTTATAATTGAAATCACCCAGTGTTTTTTTAACTAATTTTTTAACAGTTGTTTAACAATCTTATTTAGTATATAGAATTTGGAGGCATAGATTTAGTATGCTGTAGTTTAGTTAAATAAATGTTGAGCTTATTTTCTTGTAAAAAATTTACCATAACTTTTTTTATTTTATATATATTACTATGAATATAGAATTTATGCATAGTCAATTGAAGCACGGGCCGAGGGGAGATTTCCTATAAAGATTATTACTAGATTTAGACTAATGTTTTTATTCATGCCCGATGTAATACACATTAACGCTGGCACCGCCGCCGCATGCACCACAGCTCCGCTTTGCGCTGGTCTACAGTCGCGCATTCGCACGCAACACTACTACCTTCGCCGGCACGCAAGCCTATACGCGCTAGTTTCGCGCGACGCAGCATCGCACGCGATCGCAGCGACACGCACACACACATCAAAACAACGTGTTCTTGGGTGTACCTTACCTGTGTTAACTGCTCAGGTGTGGGCTCCACATAGTCCTTCCTATACTCAGCCTGGTCGAGGCCCATCCGCTTCCGGTCTGCTTCGCTCAGGAAGCTGCCCTCTGCAATCGACAAGCGTCGTTTAATCTATTGAATCGATTCGTAACTTTATAAGTAATCTTGTAATTGCGTATATGAATTTAATTAAAATATTTTAATTAAATTAATAATCTCATCAGACCAGTCACCTCCTACTTTAGCAGCACCCCGTTATAAACACTCTCGTGTTTGTACAAATCATTAAGCTACAATCAAGGGACACGACAAATTCGGTGTCTATATACGGTCTAGGCCAAAACAAATTAATATTTAGGGTGTGTGGTTTACGTTTATGCCGTTATACATAGGTGTAGTAGGTAGGTAACATTTTATTGTAGTGAAAATTTTATTTACGAACATGTCCGAAGATGTGCTTTTTGTTGCTGCTTTTTGAAGCAGGTAAGCTGTCCAATTCATTTTTTTTTTTTTAGCTGTTAAAGAATTTTGACAATAAAATGTTTAGGGTTCGCTGGGAATATTTTGGGTTCTGGTCGGGGATTTACTTCGGTACTTACCATCTTCCACCTTTTTTATTTTGTTTTGGTGCTTACGACCAAGACTCATGGCCCTTCTGAGCGAGCGAGTAGAGTTACGTGTTTGCCGAGAGTTATCACTTGAAGAACCTTCGCCAAGACATTCTCGGGCGAGACTTTCGCGTGTATCTGAATGTTATATTAACTGGTTTCGTTAGGATTATTTGTCATTCCGAGATGGTTCTTTGTTATAGCCGGTATACCGGTTATTTTTATCCGCCTGTATCTGGCGTTCCATAATTATGTTACACGTGTCTAGTCTCAATTTGAGAGTAGAACTCACGTAATGCGGTAATATACTTTACCATGATTTTGATAACAGCGAGTTTATTTTAAATACTTCCAACCTCAGACTAAACTTTGTGCCGGGCGGTTGGCCGGCGAGTTGTTTCCCTCAGTCTGCGACACACGACAGCGGAGTTTCATTACATATTCAGCAATTTGATTGGTTGGCTGTCGTATTAGGCTTACGCAGTCATTCAGCAAGTGCCGTTTCAATGAACTTTCAGCTCTAATGCCAGCGCGCGTTATACCCCATATATCCCATCAATTTTCCGCGGCGGAATGTGCTGGACCTTTGTGGAAAGACAGACCTCCCTGGTAGTCTTTTTTAGAAGAGGCACGTCAGGGCGAGTTAGCACGTAGCCAGCTAATCGTGAGATTGTCTCGTTAATATAAATGATGCAATAATCTATCTGTGTTAACCCGTTTCACGGATTAGCATTTGGTCGGTCTGTCGAGACGAAGGTGTTTTCAGACGGGACAAGTGCCCAATACACGCTACTTCGTCCGATGACGGTACAATTTTCATGTTAGTTTCAGTTTGATTTTTGTTTGATTGGCGCCGGCTCACTTCGTGGCACATTTTTAATTTGCTTATTATAGAATGTTAGGGCACTGATTTTGCATTTTTCTGTTAATACAGGATGAAAGCTGTCAGACTTTGACTCTGGACTCTGATTTTGACCATTAAAATAAAGGTGAACGGAGTCTTGCAGGGACATATGGTACTGGAACTTTATGTTGGAGTTGTCTATGGATTGATTTTACTCATACGTAGTAACTTGTAATACTCTATGAATATATTTCAGTCCCATTATATTATATGTGTACTCAGACTGATAAATATTGCAGTGTAATTGATTCTTTCATATTTGAAGTCTACTAAAATTAAGAGGATTGTACATCTGTACTGGATACTTTTTATTGAATTTTGATTTTTTCTTTTTATACTAGCATTCTTAATAGCATATATTTTTTCCTTTATCTACTACAAATTCGAAACCGCCATACCCATCAAATAGGCTATTTGTGGATAATCAAATTTTTTTTCGGCGGTGCATGAAACCAGGACTCCCCCTATGCATGGTGCTCGGCTTGCCTTCTTCGCCTACCGTCGTTGCCCGGAAAACGTCACAACTGTGCTTTCATATCTCTCCATTTTACTGCTATTGTCAAAAGGTTTTATACAAGAACTCCTGCACTTTCTTACGATTCTTACTTTAATGTTCGTCTTCTCTTCGAGGGGAGCTCGAGGATGGAGCGTTTCTCTTTTCCTTTTGTTGATGCGCGCGTCAAGGGTCAAGCTGGAAATACCAGCGATCTCTTGTAGTATCGATCTCGTTTTAACAATGGAGACAACAACATTAAGTACAAACATAGAATACTGAGTGGAGTAACACATAGTATATGTTCACGTTATAACACTCGCTGGTCGTGTGAGTCGAACCTTTCCGTAATTTTCGCTTCACGTCCCTGAGCACCTGTTGGTGACACTCTTATTTGGCCACAGCAATATTATTCAGCCCTTCGGAACTACGATTTTTTGCGGGTTACTCGTGAATTAATTTGCATTTTTTCCATTTCATAGCTAGTAGATACCCGCATAATCTTTCTTGCCAATCCTGCAATACGGTAATTCGCGACCTGACACTGACCTCACAACAAGCATTCCGTATGGAGCATTGTCAACTTCGACAGGGCGCACCACTGCACCACGCCACCGACACGCACTTGCCACACCAAATCTCTCCATCCTCGTCTTGTGACCACATCACTGCGTGTTACTTCAGTTTCCTCTGTTGCTGCTACCTCCCTCGTCACCTGCTGCCCCTTCATCACCTCTTATTTTGGTCAGGCAACTTCCTTGTGCTTTTCGGCACGGTGGTGAGTTTCGAGGTGAAGGGAGCTTGGATCTTGTCAGCGACTGCGACCTCCCTTCTCGACAAGATTCAGACGTACTTGAGCAGCTGTACAGTCGAGCCGTCTTGCGGGAGATACACACTCGCGCTGGCGGCAACGTGAACGTGCTGTCATCACTCATACTCGGATCATATTTATAAATATATATTTTTATCTATATACCGCGCCGGCCACGCACTTCACCTGCTACAATATGTCGTACCGCCGTCTTGACGCCTCGGGGCGGGGCCACCTTCGCCTCTACTCACCGCTGTGTCACCTACTGACCTCTCCGTACTCCAAAATCGTGTTCTACCCGCGATCGCACAGGGCGCCGCACTTCCGCCTGTCCGCCGCCGCGCGCTACTCACTCCGGCTTCTGCATCTCTAGGTTGCACTCTGAGGCGAGACGGGAGCTTGTCGACGAGCATGTCGGTCGTGATGTTCGGCGACTGAATAGCGCGCTCGCCCTCGACTCGGCCTTGAGAGGATTGGCTCGCGTACAGCTTCTCAAGGCACTTTGTTTTCTTGCTATCGTTTACTTCTTCGTCCTCTGGATTGTTATTTGTTCTGTGTCGGGCTATGGTTGCGTCACTTTCGGCCGGCATGACTTGTGCCGCAGCGTGTTTGAGGGTCGAGAGTCATCTTTTTTTGCTGCCTTTGGGACGAAGTGCAGAGGAAGACGTGTGGATTTTTTTCGCGTTCGTCTTTTCTTTCTTTCCTCCTATTCTTTTCAGTTTTATTCTGTCTGTTTTAATTCTTATGGTCGCTAACGATTCTCTGTTAGGATGTGTCATTTACGATGGTCACTTTTCGGGCCGCCAGCATGTTAGCCGCGTTTTCAGCTTGTCTGCTTCCCCTCCTTTTGTTTTTTCTTACGTGTCTTTTCCTTATTCTCTTGACGTGGTCTGGAGTTCTAGGCTGTCTTCGCCGCCCATTTCTCTTCTGCCCCTTTTTCCCGCTTCAGCGTAGAGAGAGAGACTGTCACGGGGAGCGTGTAATGATGGTCGCTGTATCGATGTCTTATTTTCGTTAGATGTCACTTTAACGATGTCATCTTCGGCGCGAGCATGTGCCGTAGGCATGTTCGTGGGTAGTGCCTGCATGCGTTACGTGCGCGGGAGAGAGACCGGCGGATCGACGTTTATAAGGCATTGTACCTCTCGTGACTATTACATTGTCCATAGTCAAGCATTCATGTTTGATTATAAACTTTATACCGCAATCGCCTCAATTTTTTGGATTGTTAACTAGTTGAAACTCTTATCAGGTAGAATTTGAGCGATACCATTTTAGTGCCGTTTAGTATCTTAACTTTTCATTGTAAAAACCATTGTCCACAATACGATTTTTACAATTATACACACAACACCATCACGGATCGCTTAGTCATTTTAACGATGAGTGTCGGTAAGAACTCGGTCCATTAGGGTATGATGTTATATACAACGGTCCGTTACGATGGTCGTCGAGAACGATCATTATGATGCGTATTACGATGCTTCAATTACGATGGTCCGTCGGAAGGCTTCGCGTTCGTTAGTTTGATGGTGTCATTAATGATGGAACTGAAACGACATTTAACGAGGGCAGTCGTGCCGTTACATGCTTGCTTAATTTCGCGTCGATATTAGCGGTCATATTAACCATTGAACTGTGCAGTACGTTTCTCACCTTTCTCGGTGTGAATGCTACACGCGGTTGGACCATCAACTTGCCATTGTGCTCCATATCTTACTTGCTAGATCAGAGTCTCCTGCTGGGTTTCGCCTTCGAAAAAATTACACAGTGCCGCTTACCATGTCTACACTTAAATGCCTGAATCTCATTCCGTCGAACGAGACCACGCCGGACGCCTCGACTGTCCCGGCGCTGTGGTCGGTTCCATTCACAACGCCGCTCAGGAGGTCTCGCTGTGAGCGCTGCATGTAACGAGCTCGGGCAGAAACTCCTCGCCAAGATCCCTAGCGGCCAGCCGGGATTACTCAATGGACTTAGCCATCGGCGCTGTCTGGCGACGGGAAGTGTTCGCCTCCCACCAGCGTTTCGTGAGTACGTTCTCCAGCTTCGAATCGCACTGCAAGCGCTTACGAGACATCTCGCTGAGCAATTTAATCACCGCTATGACAACTGTCTGGCAACTCGACACTGTTCAACGCATTAGGGAATGGACCAGTTAGGCACTCAGCGGTAGGTTGCATACTCTTCCGCCGCATGTAACATGTATGGTAACAGCTGGTTGGCTGTGTGGTCTCGTCTGCTGCCGGGTACGCACTAAGGCGAGGCTTGATCTTGCTGATACTCGAGCCTAGGCGACGACTCGTCACGCGAACACTGAGTGTGCTCACACCACACTCGCTTGTCATCACATGACTACACGTGACCCGTCTATCATTAGCCCTCCTTGCGTTTTCGGAGGTACAATATTGCGTTTGGCTCTTGTGCTCACTGTTTGCTGTGTCCCCGCTGGAATTTCTGTGCAGGGATTTTGCTGCGAACTTCATTTATGCCTGCCGACTTTATATCTTATGCTGTTTCCGCACAGTCTAAGACGTGCTTAGAAATTATCCGTCTGGCGAAGAGGGGCGCCTTGTGCTGCGTCTCTACTGGCGCGACAGCCGTACGTAACCATCTGGGAGACCGGCCGAGAGTGTCGTTAGGTCTGATCGCGGATGGCACGTTCCAGGCATCTGCTCCTTGGCAACCGAGCTCTCCGTGCTGTGCTGCCCTCAGGCCGCTGTCGCGTCCACCATGATGCTCCGTACCTGTGCTGGCAACTAGTCGTTCACCCGATTCATGTCACCCGGCAGTGTCTCGTGTCAATGTCACCCGTTTCAATGTCATCCTCAAGTGTACTCAAGTTGTTGCTCAAATCTGTCCCGTTTCAATTCACCGCCTAAGTGTTTCGTCAATGTCCCGTTCAATGTCGATCCCGTCTAGGTGTCACAGTGCGCTGCACTCAGCACGGATTATGCTCTGTACC